ACACACACACACACACACACACACACACACACACACACACACACACATATATATATATATATATATATATATAAGTTTAGAAACATTTCCAGTAGATGAATTGACATGAATTATAAATATATACATATAAATATCTAGTTTTGTTCACTTCTCTGAAAGCAAACACTCATGTTCTGTACACACACATCTAAGGTAAATTAAGGGGAAAAATAACCAAGAGTGTCTTTGGAGTATTTTAATAAACTTGAGTACTTGGAGAAACCCCTTTTGTGCAACAAAGGGAAAAAACGTGCAAACTTCAAGAAAATCAGCCAAAACTTTTACCTGCAGATTCCAGGGTTAACCACCACTTCATCGTGATCCACGACTTTTAGGTTGTGAAAAAACTTTAACTTCACAAATCCTGCCTTAAGGTTAAAAAGACTTCAAGACTTATTTGAAATATATTTGTGCAAGTTTGAATTATCAGAGTATTTTTAGCAATGTGATTTAGTCATTTATTTTGTTTGTTTGTTCCGTCTCATTTCTCAGGCAAAGTTCAAAAAACTAATTTGAAGAAGTTTGCAATTTAATGACTAATTGAAAACGTTTGATAACATATGAAAATAGATTATAAAAGTACATTTTGCTGTGTAAAGGAACAAAAACGTGCAGCTCATGCAGCTAATTTGTAAAAAGTGGACATAACTTTAACAAGTTTTTAAAAAGGAGATTATAAACACGTAGTTCAAACAAAAAAGTAACAACTCAATAAAAATATTAAAACGCTGATCTTGTAGTGACAAAATGTTAACATAAAAATGTATTTTTTTTTAAATTTACTATACAAGAAATACTGAGACTGCCTCCAAAAAGAGTAGTAACAGGAAAACACAGAGTATCCAAGTTTCCAGTGAACAGGAATTGTGAGCAGGATTGTAGGTTTGCTGCAGAAAGACATTCAGCTTCTCCTCAGTGCTGCTTAGGAGAAAGGTTTTATGATTTTCATGGAGATGTAATTCTGCAAAAAAAAAAAAAGAAATTAAAAATACTCCATTACTGGGTTCACTCACAGTATGACAGTAAATACACATTAAAAATAGGTCTTAGATGAAATATGACCATAATTTCAATTAAGGATGCACGATATTATCGGCATGGTATCGGCCGAGATTAGCGATTAAGTTAAGTATCGGATGTTGGTCATTCCACCAAAATAACTCACCGATATAAAAAGGTTATGTGTATATATATATATATATATATATATATATATATATATATATATATAT